TTTCCTTCTTTTCCAGAGTATAATTGTAGGATGGTGCTAATTCTGGTTAATTAACCTATATCACAGTTCCCTGGGATATCACTATGTTCTGGAAGACATTGCAAGTTTATCGTGATATAGAACGTTAGATCCACTAAGAGTTCAAGGCAATATTTCATTAGTTTAGACGAAACCCTAAGAGATGATCTCAAAGTACTCTGACTATTTGTATACATATGTAGATATATTCTGTGTTGTGAGCACTGTAATTGTGTGGTCAAGAAAGATTTCTCTACTTGCTGTGATCTTCGCCTGTAAGACACTGGAGTACTCTGGTAGACTGTAGGCGATTTTGGTATCTCTTTTCGCAGAAAAGACACCACATCCCACTCGGTTTTCTAATTTGGAGTCATCCGTATAGATGCTCAACCCTACGCCTCGTCCCTTTCCCACTTTTTTCTGGAAGGTAAAACCATATTGAGGATCGGACTTGGATTCAACTCTTGGGCATTTCGAAACATTAACATTATATAATTCCCCTTGTTGCTGCCGACTAAAAGGCGGACTCCCTCAGTCAATGCCATTTGCTTAAAGAACAAAGGTAACGAAATACGGATCTACTGGACACATTACCGCACAGAGACAAATCAACAGTCGAAACAGTGGTCTTTAAATAGCGAATCTCCTCCGAAAAAGACCAAGATCATCTTATCGGTTGGAACGTTGATGAAATCCGTGAATAGCAAAACGGCTAGAGTAGCCGAAAAAAGGGTTAAAAAAATTAAATTATTAGTGTTACTATTTTTTGCCCACAGGAGTACTTGGCTCCATCCTCTAGGGACTTTTCCGCATTTAATGGCGTTGCGATTGTTTCCGCTACCCAAAAACACGCTTGTGAACCGTTTTGCTAACAACAAATGCTCATACATTCACCATAAATCAATCACTATTGTATTACGAATGAAGTTGTTGTTATTGCTGTTGCTGTTGTACTAACACACAATAGACACATAGCAATAAAATTGGGCTGTGAATTCATCGGAATCACTTGTTTTACAAGCAATAAATAAAAATATGCCCGTTGTATATGCTCAATCACTTGCAAGAGGCCGCAGCGGCAGCACACCAAAAGCAACATGCAACAAAAACAAAAAAGCATATGGCAATAGCGAAATCAATTTAGTGGCGGCAACAACAATTCAGCAGCAATGCGCTTACAGCAATTTTCGCCCGAACAATTGATATGGCGGTGCCACCAATGCGAACAAGCATTACGATTACGATCAAATTTACATAAATATGTGTGAGTATGTGTGCACACAAATGCATGTGCAACGCTCCTAGATGCTCGCTAGCGCATTGTGGCACAGTTAGTTGAGTGTGTGTGTGTGACATAGGCGGCTAGTGGCGGCTGGCGGCATGCCACAAAGCGTAGAGTAGCAGCAAAATTAATTGCGATTGCGCCTAACAAATACAAATTAAGCTGCGCTCGCACACACAAACACACGTAAGCGCGCAGCGATGACAGTGCAGCGGCGCGCCAGCACAGCGGCGTTGGTGGTGGCGGTGATGGCGATGTTGGCAGCAACACGATCGATACGATCAATAGATCGTATGAGAACGAGTGCTACCGCCGCGGCTGATGACGGCGCTTCGTTGTTATTATTGTGCTTGTAGTTGTTGTTGCCAACCACGTCGCCGTCGTCGTCGGCGCAGCGATCGTAATCGAAGCGCGCTTGAAAGCCGCGCCGCCATGTTAGCTGCCATGACACATCATTGTTCAAAGCGCAGCGCGCCAAATAGCGCTTGGTGATGTTGTTGCTGCTAGTTTCGTTGGCGTCGGCCAGGAATGAAGACGACAAACCACCGACGACGACGACGAAGACGACAACAACAATGCGCAGCGCTGTCGCTGTAGCAATCAACAAAGTCTAATTTACTAATTAGCGTCATTCGATTGCTTGCGAACATTTTGTTGTTGCAGATGTTGCAGTTGTTGTTGCTACTATATGTAGGCATGTTGTTGACAAAGGTAATTGCAATTGCAGTAGCCAACGCGCTGCCGCCTTTGGGAGCGGTATATGCCGTTGAATTTGTGTACATTTGTTGCATGCAACACAACACGGCAGCACATATAAAGCACTATCGGGGACTTTTTGGATATCCATTTGAAGTGCCATGCGCTACTCTGTTGCTGCCACTTGCAACTTTCCTTCTCCTTTAAGTTCTTCTTGTTGTTGCAAGTCTATTATTGATCACTCGCCATGGTCGTTGCTCGTTGGCTTGCAACACCGCATCGTACATGACAGTTGAACAAGTGCTTGCGGCACTGCTGCCAACCGCTGTCGATTACATTCGCCGGCTGACTGGCTGCTTGCCACCGTTCACCGCGCAGCGTGCAACATCTTTAAATGTTGTTGCAACAACTAATTTCTCTACTCGTACACGACTCGCCTGCGCGCACTGTATCACTGTGTCTACTACATGCAACGCCACGCACATTCCCTGTGACGGGCGCTTGTGCGCAATCCGCTTGGGGGCCGCCGCTTGGTTGGCAACGTTGGGCGCCACGTCAGTTAAATTCGACACGCAGCCGCCACAAATGTTGCAACTACAACTAAATAACATTGGTAAAGTATAGTTTGTTTGTTGTTGTCATTCGGTGTCTAGCTACCATTTGACATATGCGCTGGTGCGTGCCTGGAAGCCAATCTGGGAGCAGCTCAAAGTGTCCGAGCAGCTTTTGGCTTCTGCTTTTTTTCTTCTTAATTTAGATGATATGATTTTATTCCTCTGATTGCTTTATATACAAACCAGACAGCACTTAGATATTGTGACGATCAATAGAGTGTGGCTCTCTTTTGGCTAATCCTCAGCCCTTTGAAGATGAAATGAGATCTCAGGAGCTCGGAAACTAAACTCAACTGACTTCTTATATATAGGATCGCCAAGTTTTCATAGCAGATATCCCTATGGGAGAGGTGTGTTGTTCTCGTATACTCAAAGTGTACAATATCAGTTAAAACTAACTTAAACTTCGAAGGAAGAATGGACCAAAATTCATAGACCATTTTAGGAAAAAATCACTAGAAAAAATTCTTTATGTCGAATACGAACGGAATTAAATTCTTCATTCATCATCAAAGAGTCCGGCATATACATACAACATCTGAACATTTTTGACTCCTTTTTTAGGCTTTCTAGAATAGACATAGTCATGTCGAGGGTTCCTAATTTATTTTCGATAGAGACTCAAGTATCATATACTATTAGTTTCCTTACTAAGCCGGCGCCTATTCACATCTACATGGCTGATCTTGCTGAACAAGACACAATCCTAGGAACTATATACCCAGGTCAATAACAATTTGAAGTTACTCTCCTTTTTTTGCTGGCTATTGAATTCGTACACATTATTTCTTCTAGTGCGAAGTAGCCTTTTCATCATAGAGCTCTTTTAAAAGAGCTTTCTGACTATTACAAGTATTTTTTAAAGATAAAGAAGCCTAACACTACCTATGCTCCTAGAGTAGTCGAGAAGGACTTCTCCGAGGTATTCAATACCATGCGTGGTTTCAGACAAGGAAAAAACTCTACAACATTCCCATTCTGCTATACGGTACAGAAGCATGGACAATCTGATCTGATGAGTCGGCTTTAAAATTGTTTAAGAGAAAAATTTTGCGGAAGGTTTATGGTCCTTTGCATTTTGACAACGGTGTATACTGCTGGCTAAATCATAATGTCCGGTTGGAAGACAATAATCCTGATCTCACTTTAAAGGTTTCCGATTCAATATCCGCTGGTGGAAGTACAAGAAAAGGAAGGCCTCGACACCCTTAGAGAAATCAGGTGGAAAAGAACTCAGCTTCGCTTGGTATCTGGAATTGGCGCCGTAAAGTGAAAAGAATAAATGATTAGTGGGCTGTTGTTAACTCGGCTATAACCGCGTAAGCAGTGTCTACATCAGTAAAGAAGCTCAGAGGAATAGATCGCAGCCTCCACTCTATTAGCCATTGAGATGCATATGTGTAATTATGGAAGTTTTGCTGCTGGGTCCTTGTACTATCCACCATCTTCTAATGTGTCTTTAAACCTTCCGCCTCAGAAGATACTACTTATATATTTTATCCTTCGAAATCATGCTTATCGAGCTAAAAAGGCGAGGACGTAGAGATGAATTACACTCCACGATGATTGATTGGATTTATAATCGTGACAGTTCAAGCTTTGTAGAGTTTCATAGATCCATTAGTTTATCGTGTGTGGAAGTTCACGCAAGTGAGGAAAGTTTTCTGAGCGCCAATCACTTGGGAGTGGCCAGAAAAGATTATTTTACATATGGCTTAAGCAGCTCACTACTTCTGGTCGCAAGTATCCTCTGGGGAGCCAATAAATACGGGCCGAGCTAAAGTGAGAAAGCGAAGCCCTCGTCAAGCCGATATGCTAATAAATGACCTGATTTAATTAGAAGAAACTTTCCTAACAAATAATGAAGTCCGTCAAAATTGTTGAAAACTATCGAACTTCTCAACAAAAGCATCAACATTTTTTATTGAGTTTAAGACAACTGAAATCTTTGTTTATGTTGAAAATTTCATAAACAACTATGTCGTCTTAAATTAAATTTCACATGATTAAACAACGTCACATGAGTTACCAGTGAGTGTTTACATACTATATTCTTTATACTATTCTAAATGGACCAACAAAGCAATGAAATAATCAGATAAAGGTGTCAAGTATAATGCTATCAATAGTGCCAATGTGCGCTTAATGATCATATGATACTGAGACCATATAACATACCTACCATATAAAAGTTATATATCTTCAACCCTCGGCCTCACGACCTGCTGTGACTTGCATTAATGCTAAACGAAGTGCCCAATTTATCAATTGTACACAATTGCGACTGAAGTGCGACTTGTAAAGAATCAAAAATTAACAAGAAAGAAAGATTTGAGCGACCCACGACTTAAGTTTAGTGAAATTTTGCGACCGTTATACCAGTCGGATATTCACTTAGTCTTGCTATAACCGTGTGCCACAACGGATACTAAACGTGTGTGCTTGAAAAGATTCTGTGTTTATTGCTGGAAATTAAAATAAGAATAATATATTTCTCAATCTTCCGAGCAAAAAATGTTTTCGTTTCTTTGCTTATTTCGAAATTCGAACTTAACGTGAAATTATGGGAAAAATACGTAGATGTTTGTATTTACTCGGTGTGATAACTTTGATTTTATGCATTTTTATGGAGGCTATAGAAGCGGGTAGGTAATGGTGGTGTTAAATGAATGCAAAAACTTTTTCAGAAAAGTGAAGATTAGGACTTAAATAAATAAAAATAATAATAAATTTTAAAATAAAATTTAGAAAATTAAGATCAAAACATTACAATTTAAATAAATTAACAAAAATCAAAAGCGAAATAATCATCATCATTTTTTATTTAAGGGTACAGTAGGGCAATCTGGTCCGTTTTTTTTTTGAATTTTTTTTTCATAGACATTTTTACTCTAGTTTTTAGTTTTTTCACATATCATAAGGTATTTCGTGGAGTGTATAAACAATTTTTTCGGAATATTTTGATGACATCTGTCGGACAAATGGCTGGGTGAACGAGATGCATGTTTTCACTGGTGGACGCGCATTCTCGTGTTTGCATCAACTGAAACACAAAACCTCAATCTATTCTTAAAGAGTGCGTGAATGGTTATCGTCCTTACTAGAGTCATGAAAAAATGTTGATAAATAAACAAGCCATTAACGTTTTTTTTTCCCATGATTTTTTACAAAAATTTTGTCATAATATTGTCAATAAATTATAAAAAATTATGAATCTAGTAGGGACGATAGCCAGGCATTTTTGAATATTAAAAAAAATTAAGTAAACCAGAATCATGTCCGCCAATTTAAAAAAGAGTGTTTGAGTGAAACAAGTTTAAAGTTTGAGATGTGCACTCCGAACGCTCCGAACGTCGAGCGGTATTATTATTTTTAGCACTTTTTCGAAACCTTCCATTAATTCTAATTGTATAGGGAACAGAAAATAAGGAAACAACAACCCTTAAATTAAAATTAATTTAGCTTTAATTTCTAATTTGTTTTATGTTTTTAAATATTTAATAAAACTAAAATTTTAATTTAAATTCATT